TCCTGTCTCCTGCAGACTTGTCTGGCACCCTGTACGTTTGGGATTTGGCACACTATGTCTCATCTGTGACCCCCACTAGACGATGAGACTTGAAGTATGTGGCTTGACGGAAAGTTGTTGAATCTGCTGGGGCGCTGGTACAGTGCTGGGCATGGCAGTGTTACAGAGGAAGCCACTTAGTCCTTGCCCTTAGGAGCTTTTATTCCAGTTGCACTTCACCCTGCCAGGTGTGAGTCACCTCCCAGTAGTGCCTACCAACTTTCAAAGTCTGTTTAATTGTATCTTAGTGTCTAAATCCAATCTTATTTTTTGAAGGAAGGCACTCTGTCTCTAATGTCTTATTTTAGCACCCAGAGACCAGGTAAACATCATTTTTGTCCGAAACTCTGGAAGGAATGTACATTTGGCACAGATTACTTCCCTTTTTCTCTTGTACACCTTTTACCTTTTTTGTTTTTTTTTAAGTTTGATTTGTTTGGACAGTAAGGGTTTAAGAGATTAAGATTAAATTTCAACTTTGTCTGTTGTGCATATAGCCTAGGGAAAACTAAAAGTTAAAGAGGAAAAATACATTGCCTCTATAAAAAAAAAAGATTCTTTTTTTAATTAAGCTTTTTTTTTTTTAAAATTTTTAATTGTTTTTAGGGACTGGGTCTCATCCTATCATCCAGGCTGGAGGACAGTGATGATCACAGCTCAGTGTATTCTTGAAATCCTGGGCTCCAGGGATCCTCCTGCCTTAGCCTTCTCACTATCTGGGACTGCAGGCATATGCCAGCACACCTGGGTAATTTTTCAAAATTTTTTTGTAGAGACACAGTCTCGCCATCTTGCCCAGGCTAGTGTGGAACTCCTGGGTTCCAGCACACCTCCTACCTCGGCTTTCCGAAGTGTTGGGATTACAGGTGTTGAGCCACTGTGCTCAACCTAAACTTTTTTATTTTTAAAATTTTTAAATATATTTTTTAATGCTGACCTGTACACAAAAGAAAGTAAAGGTCCTGGTCAAGCCTAGGAAAGAAGTATGCGAAGAAACTGGTAGCAGGCTGGATGTGATGGCTCATACCTGTGATTTCAGGGCTTTGGGAGGTGAAGAGGAGAAGATTGCTTAAGGCCAAGAGTTTGAGACCAGCCTGGGCAACATAGCGAGAACCCTGTCTTTACAAATAAAAAATTTAAAATTAGCCAGACATGGTGGTGTGCACCTGTGGTCTCAGCTATTTTAGAAGCTGAGGCAGGAGGATCTCTTTATCCCTGGGGTTTGAGGCTGCAGTGAGCCAGGATCACTGAAGAGCCCAGCTCTCCAGCCTGGGCTGTAAAGGGAGAGTCTGTCTCTAAAGAAAAACACGCTGGTGGCAATGTCAAGATTTGTCAAGAAATAGCCATTACATTGGGCCCAGTGGTGTGTACCTGTAGTCCAGCTGTTCAGGAGGCCGAAGTGGGAGAATCTGTTGAGCCTAGGAGTTTGAGTTCAGCTTGGGTTGGATCGCAAGACCTCGATCTATAAAAATATAGGCCAATAAGATCTTTTTTAATTAAAAAAAGAAAAAGGTATACCTGCTAAAATTTAAAGCTCTTCTGTTCTTCCTCTCTCCCTTCTAGTGTTCTTGGGGAAAATCC